TTCATTTGTGCTTGTTTTATTAACCAAACTATTTTACACACATATGATATATAATATATATATTACATATATTATATGCTGATAATGATAAATTTTAGCAGAATATGAAATCCATAAAACAAAAGAGGAATAAAATAATTTAAAATTGTTTGTATCTATTTGTAAGACATTTCGAAAAAAAATGCAAATTCATATATTTTAATAATATATAAAAAATAAAAACAAATATTTAATTTTAATCTTTGATCATTATAGGAATGTGCATGCCACAGAAAGAAAAAAAACAGAATGCAAGAGTTAACACTCTAACAGTAAAGCATAAGCAGAATATTTTGCAGACAAAATACTGTCTTTCAGAGATTCTTCAAACTTCAGCAGAAACCTTTTTTTTGTCAAGTTTATAAGTCACTGTTCCATACGGTAGCTAATATATCATTTTTCTGCAGGGATAAAAATTCCCAAATATTTGACTTGTATTCATAAATTACAAAGTGATAGTTTAGAATATCTGGAGGTTGTTATCATCAGTGTTTTTACTGTAATTTAAAAAATGCTATACAGAGAATGATAATCACATTGGACACTATTTTTCCTTGTATATAATATCAGTTGTAATGTGCATCTAAAATGACATTTAATAGTTTAATTTTTTTATAAAAAATAAGTCAAAATACTAGATTTCATTTACATGAATCATAGTAATATGAGGACATGCAAAAAGAGTATGATTTATTTAGTTTATTTATTAATTTTTTAAATATAATATGTGAGCCCATTAAATATATAAATAAATAAATCACATTCTTTTTGTGCAGCCTTGTCCTCAATAGCCATTACATAATATCATGCTTGACCATTTCAAATATCAAGCTTCCTAAAGAATACCAGGATGCAGACAAAGGAATTCTAACTACCATACAGACAGCACATCAGTTTTTGATAATGACTGCGAAAGATGAAAGTACTTTAACAAAAATAAAAAAAATATTAACTTCAAACATTTTATTCACAACTTCAAGCACAATACTCAAAACCTAATCTGAAAATGAGAAAAATATAATAAAAAATTAAACAGATAGATATTGTAAGTTTTTTAATCAAACTTGTCTGAATATATATGTGTGTGTGTGTGTTCACACATATTTTGACTTTTCACAGGAAAGAAAATTTGTAAATTAATAGATATGTGCAATATAAAATATATTTGCAGTGATGTATGCATTCTAAAAAGTCTATATGCACTAGTGTTGAGTTTTAATTTCCAAAAGGGAAAATTAACCTTATCTTACACAGTAGCTATGGTATACAAATAAAGGCCATTTTATACATACACAGACATACACAGACATACATACAGATAGATAGATAGATAGATAGATAGATAGATAGATAGATTTAATTTTCATTTAAATATAAACTTTATATTTTTTCCAGTATCTACAAAGAATATGTACTGATTATAAAATATTCTGCAGACAATTAAATTAATCAATTAATTGCAGAAAAATAAGTAATTTTCTCTTTGACTTTCAATATAACTATTTTTATCACACAAAGCTATAGTTGCAAAGAAACATAAATTAAGTTGTTTCTGTACACCCATATGACAAAAAATACTTTTATATATCTATTTTATTCCTAGAGCTTAAGTGTCTTTCAAAACAAGTAACAATTAAGGGTGAAAATAACAATGTCAGTTCGGATGTATTAAAGGAATAATTTCTTTCCACAATCTGCATAATTTGATAAAATGTGATGGCAATGCAACTAATATTTAAAAACTGAAAACCATTCTTTTTAGATAAAAGAAATGCACCAATTTTTACAAAGTTGAACAATTCATCAATATCTTGTATAAGACAACTGTCTACATAAATTGCAAACAAAATATTCTTGATATTTAAAGAAATTATTCAAACATCAAATTGAAAAGTAATTACAATAGATAAGAAATCCACTATTTAGGGTCTTATAGATTTACAGTAACATCATTCTCATTCTTGTCATTTTCGATAACATTTTTCTCTGCTATATTTGTTGTTTTCAGATATCAAATTTTATAGCCACTAAATCTTATGTACATTTATTATAGAATTAATTTAAATATGGAAATAAAATGTGATTAAGAAATCAATTGGAAAAAAAATCTGTTCATGTGTATGTCAGCTTTACCTACTTGTTCCTATTATATGGAATAACTCTTCATTTTCTCTTAATAAAGTGGGATGACATATTTGAATTTTATTACACCTACTTAATTCATTGCTGAGTAAATTATATAATAGTATCATGAAAATAATATATTTTAATGTAAATCATTTAATGAAATGTCTTAACAAAGAAACCAGCTCTTTTATTCAGAAGTTAAGCAGCATAAAGTCTAGTCAGTACTTAGATAATGGCTCATTTGGGAACATCGGTTACTGTAAGCAACCTCCTACAATCCAAAATATGTTTGGACTTTAAATAACCCACAAAGGGTTGTTAAGCCATAAAAACAGCATGTAAAATTTCACAAAAAAACTACTGAGACATTTATCATCAAATGAAGCAACTTTTTAACAAGGATTGTCCACTGAACAGGAGTATTTTTGCTGCTTTCTTTCAAAGGGTCTGGTGATAGTGGCTAAATATAAAATATAAAGAGTCTGGTGATAGTAGTTATATATAAAACAAGATATCCAAACATGATCAGAATGTGTAGGGACCAAAACTTGAAAAAAAAAAATGAAAATAATACTAAAATAATTGTTTATGATTATGAAGTGTGCCACATCAAACTAAAATGAGTATGATTGAAATTTAATATTTAATTTACTTATATTTTGATTTATAATTCACTGTTGAAAAGAGAATTGATCAAAGTAAAGTAGAAAAATTACCTTTCTAGATTCAGTAAAACAAAAGTTATATGGAAAACTTTCAAGTAAACCAATCAATAATTCATGATGTGATAACTGGAGCAAGATAAAAATCTGTTAATACTAGTTACCATAAGTCATGTAAAGGCTCTGAAGCGTGTTAAACATTAAACTCATATTTTCTATACAGTTGCTTGTAATTTTGTTATATACTCTCAGATAGTTGGGTTGATTAAATAATAGCGAATAATCTTTACAGATTTATTAATTTCATTTCAGTTGTTCTAAAGTTATAAAATGTATAAATAATAAATCATGTTTATTCACAAAATAATCTTTTTCAAACTGAAAGAAAAGTATCTTATTTAGTTTGTAGCCATTAATTTGTTTTAGGAGAAAAGTAGAATAATCTTTACAACTATATAAATTTTGTTATCTAACATTGTTTAGACACAGAAATCTCTTAGTTGCTTATTTGTTGTTGTTAACACAACATTTCAGTTCATTCATCCTTCAGCCCTTGTCAAGTGGTATCAGTAAGAACAAAGGAAACTTCCTACTTTCAGAAATAAGCAAACTACTGATGGAAATTGTTTATTAATGTAACAATCATATAACAACAGCAATTATAGAAGTTATATTTAATTCCCAGAATGACCAGTGTGTCAGTGAGATAAGTCAGAGAAACATTAAATTTCAATCTCAAAAACCAAGCACATCTGGACATGTTCTAACTTCCACTTTCTTGAAATTATGACCAGATGAGTCATTTATTGCTAAGCAGTAAAGGATGTTGTACATGTTCATGTAATAAAGTTGGTAGAAAAATCAATGAAAGGTATTCAGAGCACTGAAAACTGGGAAAAGTTCAAGTGAAATGTTACACTATAAAATGACTTATGGTCAACATTCTATAAAAAAAAAAAGAGTTTTTGAGTGACCCAGGCTATCCAGAGAATTACAAGAAGATATACATAAGGATGCAAGAAGTGGGCAGCTAAAAACACAAAGAACAGATGCAAACATTTATTTAGAAATGCTGAAAGGATTACAAGAATCTGAAGGAAAAAACCCAAACATTGGACTGACAATTGGATTCTCCACCATGAAAATGCTATTGTGCATGATGCACTAGAAAATTTTACAAAAATGAACCATTCAATTTATTTACCTGACTTAACTACCTGGGAAATAAAATGTAAAGTTATGTTAAAATAATTTATTGTATTTAATTTCAATAATTTATGCAAGTCAAATTTTACATTCACTTTCTCAGTTCAATATTGCAAATTGTCAAATTGTTATAATATTTTAATAAATTTGTAACTAGAGAAGCCATATAAACATGCCAATAAACTGATTTAATTTATATCAAAGTATATTAAAAGTAACTGAAATTATTTTAATGTTTTCCATTGGCAGGTATTGACATGGTTATAGCATAGTACTGAGCTACTGAGTAAAAATCCTTACACAGTTTATTTAAATATTTTTATAAATACAATTGCAGTTTTAAAAACAATTTCCTTAATAAAAAGTATAATAGCTAAAATGAAACTCAGCAGAATATATTTTACATAATATTATTGTTCATACATAAACTTTAAGTAAATATTTAGAAATATAAATTACTTAGTTGGCACAGATATGAATAAATCAATTAAATATTGAATTTCAAATGATTCAATGACTGCAGGAAAAAACAAAGAGAAAGAATTTCAAACATTAGAAATAAAAGAATAATATTCTCAAATATAATCTTATATCCTAAATTAGAATAACGCTTTCAAAAATACATCTATAAAGATTAGAAAATTGTTGAACTATACATTACACACCCATTTTAAAGATTATTAACATAAATATTATATGCAACATCAGCAGCTTTTCAATTTTTCTTATTAAAAGGCACAAAAGTATAGATCATTACTACTATACCTCTCAAACTAGTGACTATAATTTGAAACAAGTTATACTGCTATAATGCATACATTTTGTTTTAACAATAAAAGAATAAATTTAACAATATACAATGTAAAAAGGGCATTTTTACAAAGTAGAAGATATATATTAAAATGAATTGGGTCACCTCAAGAAATTAATAATAATTGTATTGTAATGAAGAAAAAGTTAAGGAAATTATGATTTTAAAGAGAAAGCAGAGAAAATACCTGAGGAGGATACAGCAACTGAAGTTGGAATTAAACGTGATGTTAAAGATGTTAAAGTTGGAAGCTTAGAGGAAGCAGATACAGATGTGGTCGCAGATAAAGTTGAAGTAATTTCAGTTGTGGATTTGGAGGTTGAAGCATAATTAGGTTTCAGAAATGTTGAAGTGGGATGTGGGGTTCGGTAAGGAATTTCTGTCACTGTCAAAGAAGCAACAGGTGTAGACATAAAGGCACTTACAGCAGAACTGATGTGAGTTGACAATTTCATAGATGAATGGGTTATACAAGGAGTTGGTGCAGTAGATATTGATACAGGTATTGTAGGGGTGACAGTAGTTGGAATAGGAGTTGTAGGAATGGATGTGGTGGTAGGAATTGGAACAGAAGTTGTTGTAGGAATGGATATGGTGGTAGTAGTTGGAACAGAAGTTCTTGTAGAGATGGATGTGCTTGTAGTAGTGGGAATGGATGTGATGGTAGAAGTGGGGACAGAAGTTGTTGTAGGAATGGATGTGGTGGCAGTATTCAGAACGAAAGTTGTGGGAATGGATGTGCTTATAGTAGTCGGAATAGATGTGATGGTAGTAGTGGGAACAGAAGTTGATAGACGAATGGACATGGGAGTAGTAGAGGAAACAGAAGTTGAAGGAATGGACATGGATGTATTAGTGGGAATAGATTTGGAGGAAGTAGTGGGAGCAGAAGTTCTTGTAGGAATAGATGTGGTGGTAGTAGTCAGAACAGAAGTTGTTCTAAGAATGGATGTGGTAGTAGTAGTGGGAACAGAAGTTGTAGGAATGGATGTGGTGGTAGTAGTGGGAACAGAAATTGTTGTAGGAATGGTTGTGGTGGTAGTAGTCGGAACAGAAGTTGCTGTAGGAATGGATGTGGTAGTAGTAGTCGGAAATGAAGTTGTTGTAGGAATTGATGTGGTGGTAGTAGTGGGAAGAGAAGTTGTGGTAGGAATGGATGTGGTAGTAGTAGTCGGAAATGAAGTTGTTGTAGGAATTGATGTGGTGGTAGTAGTGGGAAGAGAAGTTGTAGGAATGGATGTGGTAGTAGTAGTCGGAAATGAAGTTGTTGTAGGAATTGATGTGGTGGTAGTAGTGGGAACAGAAGTTGTAGGAATGGATGTGGTGGTAGTAGTGGGAAGAGAAGTTGTTGTAGGAATGGATGTGGTAGTAGTAGTGGAAAAAAGAAGATGTAGGAATGGATGTGGTGGTAGTAGTCAGAACAGAAGTTGTTGTAGGAATGGATGTGGTGGTAATAGTCGGAACAGAAGTTGTTGTAGGAATGGTTGTGGTGGTAGTAGTGGGAACAGAAGTTGCTGTAGGAATGGATGTGGTAGTAGTAGTGGGGAACAGAAGTTGTTGTAGGAATGGATGTGGTGGTTGTAGTGGGAACAGTTGTTGTAGGAATGGATGTGGTGGTAGTAGTGGGAACAGGAGTTGTTGTAGGAATGGATGTGGTGGTAGTAGTGGAACAGAAGTTGTTGTAGGAATGGATGTGGTGGTAGTAGTGGGGAACAGAAGTTGTTGTAGGAATGGATGGATGTGGTGGTAGTGGGAAAAGAAGTTGTTGTAGGAATGGATGTGGTGGTAGTAGTTGGAACAGAAGTTGTGGGAATGGTTGTGGTTGTAGTAGTGGGGACAGAAGTTGTTGTAGGAATGGATGTGGTGGTAGTAGTGTGGACAGAAGTCGTTGGGGAATGGATGGTGGTTGTGGTGGGAATGGATGGAATGGATGTGGTGGTAGTAGAGTGGACAGAAGTTGTTGTAGGAATGGATGTGGTGGTAGTAGTGGGAAGAGAAGTTGTTGTAGGAATGGATGTGGTGGTTGTAGTGGGAAGAGAAGTTGTGGTAGGAATGGATGTGGTGGTAGTAGAGTGGACAGAAGTTGTTGTAGGAATGGATGTGGTGGTAGTAGTGGGAAGAGAAGTTGTTGTAGGAATGGATGTGGTGGTAGTAGTGGGAAGAGAAGTTGTTGTAGGAATGGATGTGGTGGTAGTAGTGTGGACAGAAGTTGTTGTAGGAATGGATGTGGTGGTAGTAGTGGGGACAGAAGTTGTTGTAGGAATGGATGTGGTGGTAGTGGGAAGAGAAGTTGTTGTAGGAATGGATGTGGTGGTAGTAGTTGGGACAGAAGTTGTTGTAGGAATGGATGTGGTGGTAGTAGTGGGAAGAGAAGTTGTAGGAATGGATGTGGTGGTTGTAGTGTGGAAGAAGTTGTTGTAGGAATGGATGTGGTAGTAGTAGTGGGGACAGAAGTTTTAGGAAGTGATGTGGTGGTAGTAGTGGGAACAGAAGTTGTTGTAGGAATGGATGTGGTGGTAGTAGTCGGAACAGAGGTTGTTGTTGGAATGGATGTGGTGGTAGTAGTAGTCGGAAACAGAAGGTTGTTGTAGGGAATGGATGTGATGGTAGTAGTCGGAAGACAGAGGTTGTTGTAGGAATGGATGTGGTGGTAGTAGTGGGAACAGAAGTTGCATGAATGGATGTCGTAGTAGTAGTGGGAAAAGAAGTTGTTGTAGGAATTGATGTGGTGGTAGTAGTGGGAACAGAAGTTGTTGTAGGAATGGATGTCGTATTAGTAGTGGGAAAAGAAGTTGTTTTAGGAATGGAGGTGGTGGTAGTAGTGGGAACAGAAGTTGTTTTAGGAATGGATGTGGTGGTAGTAGTTGCAACAGAACTTGTTGTAGGAATGGATGTGGTGGTAGTAGTCGGAACAGAAGTTGTTGTAGGAATGGATGTGGTGGTAGTAGTCAGAACAGAAGTTGTTGTAGGAATGGAGGTGGTGGTAGTAGTGGGAACAGAAGTTGTTTTAGGAATGGATGTGGTGGTAGTAGTTGGAACAGAAGTTGTAGGAATGGATGTGGTGGTAGTAGTTGGAACAGAAGTTGTTGTAGGAATAGATGTGGTGGTAGTAGTCGGAACAGATGTTGTAGGAATGGATGTCGTAGTAGTAGTGGGAAAAGAAGTTGTTGTAGGAATAGATGTGGTGGTAGTAGTGAGAGAAGAAGTTGTAGGAATGGATGTGGTGGTAGTAGTGTGGACAGAAGTTGTTGTAGGAATGGATGTGGTGGTAGTAGAGTGGACAGAAGTTGTTGTAGGAATGGATGTGGTGGTAGTAGTGGGAAGAGAAGTTGTTGTAGGAATGGATGTGGTGGTAGTAGTTGGAACAGAAGTTGTTGTAGGAATAGATGTGGTGGTAGTAGTGGGAACAGAAGTTGTAGGAATGGATGTGGTGGTAGTAGTGTGGACAGAAGTTGTTGTAGGAATGGATGTCGTAGTAGTAGTGGGAACAGAAGTTTTAGGAATTGATGTGGTGGTAGTAGTGGGAACAGAAGTTGTTGTAGGAATGGATGTGGTGGTAGTAGTGGGAACAGAGGTTGTTGTTGGAATGGATGTGGTGGTAGTAGTCGGAACAGAGGTTGTTGTAGGAATGGATGTAGTTGTAGTAGTTGGAACAGAAGTTGTATGAATGGATGTCGTAGTAGTTGTGGGAAAAGAAGTTGTTGTAGGAATGGATGTGGTGGTAGTAGTGGGAAGAGAAGTTGTAGGAATGGATGTGGTGGTAGTAGTGGGAAAAGAAGTTGTTGTAGGAATGGATGTGGTGGTAGTAGTGGGAACAGAGGTTGTTGTTGGAATGGATGTGGTGGTGTAGGTGGTAGTGGGAAAAGAAGTTGTAGGAATGGATGTGGTGGTAGTAGTGGGAACAGAGGTTGTTGTTGGAATGGATGTGGTGGTAGTAGTGGGAAAAGAAGTTGTAGGAATGGATGTGGTGGTAGTAGTGGGAACAGAGGTTGTTGTTGGAATGGATGTGGTGGTAGTAGTGGGAACAGAGGTTGTTGTAGGAATGGATGTAGTTGTAGTAGTCGGAAGAGACGTTGTAGGAATGGATGTCGTAGTAGTAGTGGGAAAAGAAGATGTTGTAGGAATGGATGTGGTGGTAGTAGTGGGAAGAGAAGTTGTTGTAGGAATGGATGTGGTGGTAGTAGTGTGGACAGAAGATGTTGTAGGAATGGATGTGGTGGTAGTAGTGGGAAGAGAAGTTGTTGTAGGAATAGATGTGGTGGTAATAGTGGGAACAGCAGTTGTAGGAATGGATGTGGTGGTAGTAGTGGGAACAGAAATTGTTGTAGGAATAGATGTGGTGGTAGTAGTGGGAACAGAAGAGTTGTAGGAATGGATGTGGTGATAGTAGTGGGAAAGAAGTTGTTCTAGGAATGGATGTGGTGGTAGTAGAGTGGACAGAAGTTGTTGTAGGAATGGATGTGGTGGTAGTAGTGGGAAGAGAAGTTGTTGTAGGAATGGATGTGGTGGTAGTTGTCGGAACAGAGGTTGTTTTAGGAATGGATGTAGTTGGTAGTAGTGTGGAACAGACGTTGTAGGAATGGATGTGGTGGTAGTAGTGGGGAAACAGAGTTGTTGTAGGAATGGATGTGGTGGTAGTAGTGGGAAGAGAAGTTGTTGTAGGAATGGATGGGTGGTAGTAGTGTGGAACAGAAGTTGTTGTAGGAATGGAATGGATGGTGGTAGTAGTGGGAAGAGAAGTTGTTGTAGGAATGGATGTGGTGGTAGTAGTGGGAAGAGAATTTGTTGTAGGAATAGATGTGGTGGTAGTAGTGGGAACAGAAGTTGTAGGAATGGATGTGGTGGTAGTAGTGGGAAGAGAAGTTGTTGTAGGAATAGATGTGGTGGTAGTAGTGGGAACAGGAGTTGTTGTAGGAATGGATGTGGTGGTAGTAGTGTGGAGAGAAGTTGTTGTAGGAATGGATGTGGTGGTAGTAGTGGGAAGGGAAGTTGTTGTAGGAATGGATGTGGTGGTAGTAGTGGGAAGAGAAATTGTTGTAGGAATGGATATGGTGGTAGTAGTGAGAGAAGAAGTTGTACGAATGGATATGTTGGTAGTAGTGTGGAACAGAAGTTGTTGTAGGAATGGATGTGGTGGAGTAGTAGTGGACAGAAGTTGTTGTAGGAATGGATGTGGTGGTAGTAGTGGGGAACAGAGGTTGTTGTAGGAATGGATGTGGTGGTAGTAGTTGGAACAGAAATTGTTGTAGGAATGGATGTGGTGGTAAGTGGGGAACAGTTGTTGTAGGAATGGATGTGGTGGTAGTAGGGGTAAAAAGTTGTTGTAGGAATGGATGTGGTGGTAGTAGTGGGAAAAACAGAAGTTGTTGTAGGAATGGATGTGGTGGTAGTAGTGGGAAAAGAAGTTGTTGTAGGGAATGGATGTGGTGGTAGTAGTGGGAACAGAAGTTGTTGTAGGAATGGATGTGGTGGTAGTAGTGGGAACAGAAGTTGTTGTAGGGAATGGATGTGGTGGTAGTAGTGGGAACAGAAGTTGTTGTAGGAATGGATGTGGTGGTAGTAGTGGGAACAGAAGTTGTTGTAGGAATGGATGTGGTGGTAGTAGTGGGAAACAGAAGTTGTTGTAGGAATGGATGGTGGTAGTAGTTGGAACAGAAGTTGTTGTAGGAATGGATGTGGTGGTAGTAGTTGGAACAGAAGTTGTTGTAGGAATGGATGTAGGAATGGTTGTAGTAGGGGAAAACTAGTTGTTGTAGGAATGGATGTGGTGGTAGTAGTGGGAACAGAAGTTGTTGTAGGAATGGATGTGGTGGTAGTAGGGGAACAGAGGTTGTTGTAGGAATGG